CCCCAATGAGCAACAATGGGCTCTTCTCTCTTTCTGCTCTACAAACTTCTCCATTACTTTCTGGTTGAAGTCACTCATCTCTGTGAGCAGCGTCTTCTTCACTGACAGCATGGCCAATGCATTAAGCCGTCACGACAGTAGCTGTCATCTAGTAGAAGAGGAGGGGAAAGGCCGTGTGAGGGTGTCAGAAAGCACAGTCGTAAGAAGGTCAAAGGACAGGTTTGATATCCAACCACAGAAGACAAAAGCAAATAAAGACAAAATTAATTGGCTTACAGCAAATGTGGACGGGTCCGGCACACACCGAGCTGTGCCACGTGAGAAAGTCTGCAGCTGCCAATCAGAGCCCGAGCCAAGGTCACATGATCACGAAAAGTTTTTCGCGCTACATACACACTCATGTAGCCGCCGCCCCGCATCCAGGAAGAGTAAAAGTAGTAAACACACAGTAAAGACTAATCTTAAATCTGTTCACAACACACATATTGTTAATATGGCAAAAGAATTTGAACATTATTATTAATTTTGTTATTCTTTTGCTATAATTAATTCAAACTGAATATTGTGTTTGAGAACTACTTTGATCTGGTATGTAGTAGTGGGCCGCCACTGTAGAAGAGCCTTTAAAACATAACATGCAGATGCATCAACATGCCACAGAGACGTCATGTAAATGCTGCAGAAGACGTTTACACTGAGAGATGCACCAGCTGCAAAGGCCAAGAGAAGGACTGCATGTAAGAGCTGCACAGGATCTACCGTAAGAAAGGAAATAACAATGGGGATAAATTGCAGTTTATTAAATGCAAACTAAAGAGAAGTAGCACACTGTACAATGCAAAACAGAAATTATAATAAAGAAAATAAACATCGAACCACAGTAGAAATATGATGAGATGTCACACGTTGAACTGATCAGCTGAATGTGCACAGAAAGATTATGCAAACACTCTTATTGTTGACAATCTAATGCAGAAAATCAAATCAACAAAATGACATCACCACAGCAACAACAACAACAAAACCTCCATTACATTTGCTTTCAGTGGAAAGGAATCCATCAGTGAAGGTTTGTGAATCATGAAGCCTCCAAAGATTCGTTAGTTTCGACGCTGGGTAATAACCTCATACTCTGGTGATACGTCTGTCTTTTGCAGTGACATGTAAGTGCTGTCCTCTTGATTTGGCTTCACCTTCTTTCTTGAGTTCCTTTAAAGAAAACAAACATTTTTACCCAAAAGTCTTGAGTGCATTCAAAGAGGTCTGAAACAAAGATGGAGTAACATACCAAAGACAAGATATGAAGAATATGAAGAGAACATTGACACTGAGAGACACACCAGCAACGACCCAGGGAAGAACTGGATGAGAAGATCCACTACTTCTCTCAAGATCTGCTGTAAGAAAGAGGAAATGATGGTCAAATATGATATAAACTATGTATGTAGTTCTACATTCATAGAACTTTCTCATTGTCGTTGCTTCCTGCAAGAAGACGGTTGATGCTGTAAAGACAACCTTCAAACCACAAAACCATCAAGCAAATATTTTAGGAACAAAAGTACTCACAGTTCACATTCAAAGCCAAAGTCTCCTCTGTAGATAATCCACCTGTAAAGTGGACCTTACAGGTGATCTTGGTGTCGTGGTGTTCAGCTGAAGGAGTAAAGGTCAGAGTTGAGCTGT